TGTCACACAAATGTTGAACGTCGTTTTATGATATAAAGGTGTAACGTGTGTTTTATTGTCGTCTTCAGCTATTGAAGGAGATACAATGTCACAAGATTTCATTCCAAGTCAGCCTGCGACGTCGCATCTGTATCCTTTATAATGGCTTTTGGTTACAGTTTTAATTAATTAATGTACTGTATGTAAATGATTCATTTAAATGATCAAATTAGCAGGGATTACAGTAGATCAATACATCAATATTTGCAGTGAAAACCCCCAATTCAGATCAGTTGTCATTTTTAATTCTTTTCAGGAAAGTTGTACTGTAATTATAACCAAAATCATAAAAATAAAACTATTTACATTACTTAACGTCCTAGGGCCTGAGTGTCCACATACGTGGACAGCACATTTTTAGCTCATAAGTGGCTATTTAAAATACTTTGAATGTTTTACAGTTTGTATTGTGTCATCCTGCAACTGTTTTGCAGCATATGAAATGTCCCAAACCCTATTTTTAACTGTCCAAAATGGAAAAAAATTTTGTTTTTACGCTCTGATAATCAAAGCAAATTCAAAAAAATAATAATTCTACGTTAAATTTGCATAAAGAAATTCGGGAAAATGTGTTTTATGTAAATTCAGACCACAAATCCACATATATGGACATCATTTTTCTCTAAAAGTAAATCATGTCAAAGGATGATATTTAGATCTTTTATTCTAATTAGGCTCCAATAAGCCCAAATTGCAAAGAGAAATAAAAAATGCATGTAAAAAATACCTTGGGCCTTAAGAGGTTGTAGGGAAATAAACACTAATTTAAAATTAGATTGATTTAATTTTTGATTTAAATGAATTCCAATATAATATTTTAACTTGTATTTTTTTATTATTAGTCAAACCTGTTTTTATTATAATTAAATTTTAGGGTTTTTTCACCTTTACATGGAAAGGACACTGGAAGTACAGACAGGATAGTGTAGATCATTTTAATGTAGTAATGCCATTGCCCCTTAAACATATCCTGCTGGTTGTCAAACTATTGCATAATTGTTAAAAAAGGCAAATTCAATTATGACGCAGCATTATAACAGCGATCATAACATTATTTATCAATATGTAGATCTTTTTGGGTTCTCAGAAGCTACAGAAATTGCATTTGTATAGCAGGAAATATGTTAGGACTATTGTTATTGCTTACATCCCTCAAAATGGTCTATTGGGAGCTGAGAGAGGGAAATGGTCAGCAAAGGATCTCATGCCGGGAATCGAATTCGGGTCTCTGTGAGCACTACAGGGCTGTATGTCAGTGCACTAACCAGTAGACTATTAAAAAAGGCTATCAAAATATAAAATACAAACTACATTATGAAAATATAAATTTACGTCAGTGTAAAATGACGACAAAAAAAAACTAAATGTTTAAAGATAAAATGAAAATATTAAATAATACAAATAAAAATGCATTAATGGTTAATATCCATAGATTTCTAGATATAGGTAATATCGTAATAGGTAATATATAATTAATATATAATAAATTTAGTATATTAGTTAATATCTATATCTAAATATTATTATTATCCTAATTGTTAATATATAGTTAATATATGCAGTGCATCTGGAAAGTATTCATAGCACTTCACTTTTTCCACATTTATTTATGTTACAGCATTATTCCAAAATGGATTAAAATAATTGATTTCCTCAAAATTTTACACACAATTCACCATGATTAGCCATTTACAGATCTCTCCAGAGATGTTCAATAGGATTTAGGTCTGGGCTCTGGCTGAGCCATTTAAGGACATTCACTGAGTTGTTGTGAAGCCACTTCATTGATATTTTGACAGTGTGCTTTGGGTCATTGTCCTGCTGGAAGATGAACTAAACTGAAATAAATATGAATTTAATCCATTTTGAAATAAGGCTGAAACATAAAAAATGTGGAAAAAGTGAAGCGCTATGAATATTTTCCAGATGCACTGTATAATAAAGTTAGTATCTATATCTATTTAATGTCTAATATAATAAAATCTCAAATTAAAATTTCTAATTGAGCATTTCAGCTTATATTACTTCATTTTAAATACATTTATTTTTAATTTGCTGCATTTTATGACTTATTTCTTAAATAAATTATATATAAACAATGCATTGAATTTACAGCTCTCGTTGGAACTTCATGTAAAAAACCTTTTACCTTTTAAATATTCACCCCGTCCCACTTTTGAAATCATTGCTTTATTGTTTGGCCAAATATAAACTTGCATGTAAATGATTCTTTCGTCTTTTGGAGAGTCTCTCAAAAATGAATGTGTGAACTTTAATCATTTTTGCAAATGTCCTTAATGTGAGTGTTAAAAACAGAACAAGAGCATACAGAGAACCAGAACAAGTAAGTCATTCATTCAATTATTTTCCTTCGGCTTAGCCCCTTATTTATCAGCAGTTGCTACAGCGGAATGAACCACCAACTTTTCCAGCATATGTTTTCCAGCTCTTACTCAGTACTGGGAAACACCCATACACACTGGCATTCACTCACAAACTAATACACTACGGCCAATTTAGTTGACCTAATTCATCTATAGCGCATGTATTTGGACTGTGGAAGAAACCAGAGCACCCGGAGGAAAACCACGCCAACACGGGGAGAACATGCTAACTCCACACAGAAATGCCAAATGACCCAGCTGGGACTCACATCAGCAACCTTCTTACTGCTAACAACTGAGCCACCGTGCCACAGTATTTAGTCATTCTTAGGACTAAATTTACAACACTGTTACTCTCATTAGTACTGTCTGTTTTCAGCACATTACTCTGGATGGGAACAGCCTGACCTCAACCGATCTGGTGAATTTGGGGAAAGGCCTCTATAAGATTAAGGTAATGTTTTATCATGGATGCCGCAATCAGTTTTATAGTCGATTAACATTTACAAACAACATTTTGATCTGCCCCTCAGCTGACCCCAGAGGCCGAGCAAAAAGTTGTCGAATCCAGAGAGCTTCTGGACACTATTGTGAAAGAAAACAAAGGTGAGCACAACATACACTACATTGATGAGTATGGGAAATATACAGTTGAAGTCAAAATTATTAGCCCTCCTGTGAATTTTGTTTTCTTTTTCAAATATTTTCCAAATGATGTTTAACAGAGCAAGGAAATTTTCACAGTGTGTCTGATAATATTTTTTGATAATATAATGCACTGGCGTCCTGCTCCGTGTAAAAGCCCCTCTCCACGATGCGATCAAACAGCTCGCCACCTGACACTCTGGAAAATACAAGAAATTACGTATTTTTTCATCTCATTTATTCAGACTTAATTACACAGGCAAATACATTACACAATAAATAGCATCTTAAACATACTACTGTTTAAAGCACAGTATGTAGTATGTAATTTTGAGGGTGTGTATTCACAACAAACAAATATGTAGTTTAATGATGCAGTGTGAGTCATGGGAGTTGTAGTCTTCATTACATGTTACAGGACTCCTGCAGAAATCATGTTTATGGCTGAGCTAAAGTATTCAACACTTAATATCACTTATTATCATGGTAGTATGAAGCAGAAGAAGACAGTCTACCACTTCTGGTTCTGCTCGTGATCACGTGGAGAAGCAGCAGCAGCTGTTTAAGCAGACTAAATACAGTTTAGGTTCTTAAGTTATAATGCTGCTACTTGAAGTTTAATAACGCACAGCATGTTAAATCTTGGTGTTTCACTTTTTTCTATGAAACCAAGCCAGAAAATGAATTAAACTTCATTTCTCTGGATTTCGAAACATTTGGGATAATGCAGGTACATAAGTCAGCAATAGAAGACTGTTTAATTGGTCTATGGGTATTCAAAAGAGCAGAAACCCAAACAAAAACATCCTAAAAAAACAAACAAAAACCAAACCAAGCAAAAGCAATACTAAAAAACCAAACATACAAAAGAAACACAAAGCTAACCAACCAATAAACCAATAACCAACAATTAAATAGCAACAAATAACTAGCCAAAGCGATTAAAGACAAACCAAAATAACCCAAACCAAGCAAAATTAAACAAAACAAAAAGCTAAAAAAAAATAAAATAAAAAAATAAAATCCAAAACAAGTCTTTTTTGTTTTATTTCAGCTAGAATAAAAGCAGTTTTCATTTTTTAAAACCATTTAAGGTCAATACTTACAAAAAACCAACCATCATTATACACTAGCTTGCCTAATTACCCTAACCTGCCTAGTTAACCTAATTACCCTAGTTAAGCTTTTAAATGTCACTTTAAGCTGTATAGAAGTGTCTGAAAAAATATCTAGTCAAATATTATTTACTGTCATCATGGCAAAGATAAAATGAATCAGTTATTAGAGATGAGTTATTAAAACTATTATGTTTTGAAATGCGTTAAACCAGAAGTTGGGGAAAATAATTAACAGGGGGGCTAATAATTCAGGGGGTTTAATAATTCTGACTTCAACTGTATATGACATTATGGCAGGAATTTTCATAAATGGTTTGTAAAATAATAAAATAAAATTAACACGCAATTGGATCAGCATGAATGCATAAATAATCCTCATTAATACTAAATTAACTTATTTTTCCAGTTGTGTATGGCATCACTACAGGGTTTGGTAAATTTGCACGGACTGTCATTCCAGTCAGCAAGCTCAAGTACGTATGTTTTTTCAAAGTTGTAGTCTAGTTTCTCCACTTTTGCATTTAAAATGAGGCATAATTAAAACTGCTGTTTTTTCTATTACAGGGAACTTCAGGAAAACCTTCTGCGATCACACTCATCAGGTGTGACGTTCAAGTGAAATACAATGGTCTCTCGTTAATCGTGGGAGTTACGTTCTAAAAATAACCCCGCAATAGGTGAAATCAGCAAAGTAGTCAGCTTTATTTCACAATTATTATAGATGTTTTAAGTCTGTAAAACCCCTCACTATACACTTTTTTTAGACAGACATTAACATTTTCACACTTTTCTCTCGTTTAAAACTCGTTTATAGAAAATTAAGTCCAGTTTTAAAGAAAAAAAAACAAAGATCAAAATCTGTTGTCAGGCACAAATTATATTCATCGCTGTCAGCAAAAGGTTCACAAAGCTTTAATGTTGGCATCCATTGTAATGTTTTAATCCACAAAACTAAAGCAGGCTCCATCTTTAAGCGGGTCGCACACCGGATGTGGCGCCCACATTACAGTTAGGAGTAACACACACCAGATGCACATAGTCGCATGTTGTTTAAAATGAAACTATTCAGATGGTGCTCTGTGGCGCAGCAGTGCTATGAACAGTGTCCTGAGTCGTACCTGGGCACTGCAGACAGCTGCCGACTTGCGGCACCGTTGTGCATACCCTGATATAAACCTGTTTACAATTCTAAAATGTATGGTGCGTCGTGGTGCGGCGCCGTTAGTGTGCAACACCCTTTACGATGGTCCTGCTTCAGACAGTTCCGACCATTTTTGCATCCATGTTGGAACTTACAGTTAGCGATCGAAGATTTATGTTGATTTGGAAAGCTGAACATATGCTGTACTGGATACATGGAGGAGATTGATTGACAGTGGTCTACAGCCAATCAGGACTCAGAACACAATGCGCTGCATGTCAAAAAATCTGCGAAACTGCGAGGCCGGGAAAGGTGATCCACGTTTTAGTGAGGAACCACTGTATACATAGAATTCTTTTTAACAATATTTTTCTAACAATATCCTTAAAGCAACACTGAAACACAAAAACAGTTGAGTTTTACCATTTTGAAATCCATTCAGCCAATTTATGTGTATGGTGGGAGCACTTTTAGCTTAGCATAGATCATTGAATCTGATTAGACCATTAGCATCTCACTCAAAAATGAGAAAAATACAAATTTACCACTGAAGTTACATTGTTTTTATATATAACAAAAGTTTCTAGTTTTTAGGTCGATGCGGCTGGGAACTATACTCTAATGTTGGCGTAATAGTCAAGGAATTTGATTGGCTGCAGCAGGCGCAATATCAGCCTACAAATAATCAACTTCTCATTTTTTTCATCAGGTCTCAGTACAAAATGTAACTACAAAAGAGTCTAGTTTTAAATAGGAAAATTATTTAAACTTTTTAATCATTTTTGAGTATGCTAATGGTCTAATCTGATTCAATGATCTATGCTAAGCTAAGCTAAAAGTGCTCCCGTCAGACAAGATCGGCTGAATGGATTAAAAAATGGTCAAACTCAACTGTTTAACTCTAGGGGTGTGGTAAAAAAAGCTTATTTTTTTTTAAAAAGTGAAGTGTTTCTTTAAAATATGTCAGTATAACATCAATAATAAGAACCAATCATAGAGCAGCACATTGGTATAAGTATATACTAATGCAGCTGAAAATTCACAGAAATAATTACATTTTTAAAACAAACATTTCTTTTATATTGTAACCGTATTACACAATATCAACCAAATTGTCATCAAATGGCAGCCTCTTTTCTATATGCACTTACCAGTCACTTTATCAGGTACACCTGTCCAACTGCTCATTAACGCAAATCTCTAATCAACCAATCACATGGCAGCAATTACATGTATTTAGGCATGTAGACATGGTCAAGACGATCTGCTGCAGTTCAAACCGAGCATCAGAATGGGGAAGAAAGATTATTTAAATTACTTTAACCGTGGCGTGGTTGTTGGTGCCAGATGGGCTGGTCTGAATATTTCAGAAACTGCTGATCTACTGGGATTTTCTCGTACAACCATTTCTAGGGTTTACAGAGAATGGTCCGAAAAAGAAAATATCGAGTGAGCGGCAGTTCTGTGGGCGCAAATGCCTTATAGATGCCAGAGGACAGAGGAGAATGGCCAGACTGGTTCGAGCTGATAGAAAGGCAACAGTAACTCAAATAACAACTGAGGTATGCAGAAGAGTATCTCTAAACGCACAACATGTCCAACCTTGAGGCAGATGGGCTACAGCAGCAGAAGACCACACCGGGTGCCCCTCCTGTCAGCTAAGAACAGGAAACTTAGGCAACAATTCACACAGGCTCACCAAAACTGGACAATAAAAGATTGGAAAAATCTTGCCTGGTCTGATGAGTCTCAATTTCTGCTGCAATATTTGGATGGTAGGCTCAGAATTTGGCGTCAACAACATGAAAGCATGGAAACATCCTGCCTTGTATCAACGGTTCAGGCTGGTGGTGGTGGTGGTGATGTAGTGGTGCGGGGGATATTTTCTTGGCACACTTTGCATAATAAATATATGTCATAAAGTGCGAATTATCTCAGACCGACAATGAGTTCACTGTACTCACATGGACTCCACAGTCACCAGAACTCAATCTAATAAAGCCACTTTTGGGATGTGGTGGAACGGGAGATTGGCATCATGGATGTGCAGCCGACAAATCTGCAGCAACTTCGTGATCATGTCAATATGGACCAAAATCTTAGAGGAATATATCCAGTACCTTGCTGAATCTATGCCACGAAGGATTAAGGAAGTTCTGAAGTCAAAAGGGGGTCCAACCAGCTATTAGTAAGGTGTACCTAATAAAGTGGCCGTTCAGTGTATATGAGATTTCTAAGAGATTGGCTCAAAAATGTTTCTTTCATGAACTGACTGGCATTATTGAACCCCCTTTGATCCTGTCTGCCATATGATTATTATTTTTGATTATCTGTCAATGTAGGTCTGGGAAGCCCTTTAAGTCCCGAAAGAACCCGAATGCTGCTCGCTCTGAGGATTAATGTTTTGGCCAAAGGACACAGCGGGGTTTCACCGGAGACGCTGCACAGCATGATACAGGCCTTCAACGGTACATTTATCCATATTTTAACTGAAGGAGACTATTGTTGAGGGGTTTTTCACATCTCTGGCATGGCATATGAAACATGGTGTGCCATTTCAAAGAATGCTTTTTATGTAGGCTCCTGCGTCTTTTTGAAATAACATTAGCAAACGCTTCCTTTGAACTCTCTCCTCAAGGAAGTTTTTCTACTTGAGGTGTTTTACTGTCTCCTCTGCTCTCAGCCTCCTGTCTATCCTACGTCCCGGAGAAAGGTACGGTAGGAGCGAGCGGAGATTTGGCCCCTTTGTCTCACCTCGCCCTCGGCCTGATGGGAGAAGGCAAGATGTGGTCGCCTAAAAGCGGCTGGGCGGATGCCAAATACGTGAGCTTATTGCCATTGGATGCCGGGGACTGTGAATCAATAATGAAAACAGCATGTAAACATATTTACTGCTCATTTATCCGTCAGTCACGTCTGACCTTTGAATTGCCCGCAGGTCTTGGAGGCGCATGGTCTGAAGCCCATATCTCTGAAGCCAAAGGAGGTACGGTTAATCCCCCCATTGTGCAGTCAACATGTTTATCTCTGTTGACTTAGAGCTGTTTTGTGGGTCAGAAATGGGTGTCCTTGACCTGCATAGATTTTTAACAGTGCAGCTCCTCTTGGAGGCAGTTCAACATTTTAAACTAGTCTTTTTTTTTTTTTTGCATTGACAATTTTTTTATTTTTCTGGATTTGTTAGATATGGGTTTGAGTAAAAATGTAATGTTTTAATTTATGAAGGTCTGAAAACATTTCTTCCTAATTTAACATTTAAAAACTGCTGGTAGTAGCTTTTATTTTATTTTTATTTTAAAAAATTTTATATTCAATTATTTTATTTTAATTTTATTTTATATTAAATTAAAGTTATTTTTATTTGTTTTATTTATTATTATTTTTTATTTAATTTTACTCTATTTAATTTTTATTTCATTTATTTTTTTATTCAATTTTATTTTATATTTAATTTAATTTGATATTTTATTTTTATTTTAAATTCAATTGAATTTTTTATTTAATTTTACTTTTTAATTAAATTAAAATAAACTATTTTTTATTCAATTTTATTACATTTTTCATTTTACTTTATTTTATTTTTAATTAGAATTTTATTTGATTATATTTTTATTTTTATTTCATTGCATTTTATTTTATATTTAATTTAATTAATTTATTTAATTATTTTTTTTATTTTAGTTTAGTTTAGTTTTTTATTTAAATTTACTTTATTTTATTTTCAATTTAATTAAAAAATTAATTTGACTATTTTATAAATTTAATTTAATTCAATTTATTTTTATATTTTTATTTAATAACATTTTATTTTATATTTCATCATTTTTGAATTATTTAATTTAATCATTTTATTTAATAAAACAATTATTTTATTCTATAAAATTTTGTATTTAATTTACTTTATTAAATTTAAAATTTATTTTATTTTAAGGACAATTGGTTAAAATTACAAATGTTTTCATTTCACCAAATATTGGTTTCTTAACTCTTCTGGAGTTAAAGGGACATTTCGCCCAGAAATGAAAACTCTGCCATCATATGCTCATTCTCCACTTGTTCAAAACCTGTTTGAGTTTCTTTTTTTTTTGTTGTTGTTAAACGCAAAAGAAGATATTTAGAAAAATGCTGAATGCTAAGACCTATTGGCTTCCAAATTATATTTTCCCTACTATGGAGGTCAGTGGGTACCATCAACCAGCATTCTTCGAAACTTTTTCTTTTGCTCATTCGGCTGCAAAAATTGCAAGACTGCAATGGAAATAGGCTAATTTTACACTTCCCCTAGACTAGTTCCTTACTATAGATGGAGACTACTTTCAAGTACTGCGTAATATCATTTCTGCAGCCATAGTATGGCAACAAAGTTCTTTGATTATTACGCCAGAATGACAGTGCAGTTAAGAGCCATACCCGCCTAGAAAATAGCAACTTTTCATTTTTCGTCAGTCTTAGTACATGAAGTATCTACAGTTATCAAACCGCGTAATGTTTTTTTGTGCGAGATGCTAATGGTCTAATCCGATTCAATGATTTATGCTAAGCTAAGTTAAAAGTGCTCCCGTCAGACTGGCTGAACTCAACTGTTTAACTGTAGATGACTTGTAAATCCTATTTCCCCAAAAAAGTGTAGTGTTCCTTTAATACAGTGTTCTGGGTGGTTATTGGGACACTAGTGTTCTTGGGTGTTTTCTACAGCATGTGTTTACGTCTCTATCTGTTATCTCTGTCGTCAGGGTCTGGCTCTGATCAATGGGACACAGATGATCACTTCTCTGGGAGCAGAGGCCGTGGAGAGAGCGGAGGCCATCGCCCGACAGGCTGACATCATCGCTGCCCTGACCCTGGAGGTCCTTAAGGGCACCACCAAAGCCTTTGATAGTGGTGAGGGGAAAAAGAAGAAGTGTTTGATGTGCTGGATGAGAGCAGATATATTAAGACACTGTTGTTCAGTTCTGCAGACAGAAACTGTAAACAATGCAAAAAACTCTTTCAGACTTGTCAGACAAAACATGACTTGGAGACAAAACATAGGGTGCATCTCAATCAGCTCCCTTTACGGCACTGATCAGGGAATCTGTCATTTCAAAGGGTTGTCTCAATCACAAAATTCTGGCAGTGCACTGAATTGTGGCACACTAGAAAGCATTGTTTAATTGTGAGCAACAATGCTCACTTTGGGCCCTATCATACACCGGGCGCAATGTGGCGCAAGGCGCGGTGCTATAGTCTTTTGCTACTTTAAGCTTGGCGCAAGGGTCATTTTGAGGTGTTGCGCCACACTGTTTAAATAGCAAATGCATTTGCACTCAAATGTGCGCCCATAGGTGTTCTGGTCTAAAAAAGCAGGCGTGTTTTGGCGCGTTGCTATTTTAAGAAACTGTAAATAGTCTGATCTTTAGACCAGAACAAAGTCGGTCTATTGTCTGGCGCAAAGTGCGCCTGGCTTACACACTACACACAAGATGTAGAGCAATACACAAATATCTTTACATAAATATATAATAAAAAATAAATAAAAAAAGATATATCTTAAAGATATATATATATATATATATATATATATATATATATATATATATATATATATATATATATATATATATATATATATATAATAAGGATATAAATATAAATTATTAAAATATTACAAAACATATTAATTTCTACCCTAAATGAATTTTAAAACCACTGCCTTCATACTTTCTTCATCTCGGGAGGCTTTTTCAGTTCATTCAATTTGCTTTTGTATAATGTTATTATTATTAGCAATATTATTTATGATATCCATATTTATATTTGTTTTATTAAAAACAAGCTTAGATTTGCCCACCTGTCAGGTTTTAGACCAAATGGGGCATAGCAGGTGTATTTGGAAATAACTCAGTATTTTGAGCACACTTTGTTATTATTGTTCATTTATTCATTTGCTGGAAATTAGAACTGAATTTAGAAATAGTTTTGAAACAAATCTTTGCGCTTAACAAACAAAATTAATTATTTATAGGCTAATTGATGTCTGTGTGTAAAGGTTTCCCTATCCACGAGAGCAAAAGCGAAAGTGAACTTACTTTACGTCATGTTAATAGCAACGCGCTTATGGCGTGACGCAGCTGGCTCTTAAAGGGAATGGGAGGATGAGACTCTAATTGGTTTATTCTTAAAACACACCTAAAACTCATTAAGAAAATAAACTCAACCCTTGTAGATCATGCGCCATGGCACAAAGCGGATTTTCCTCTCCTTAAGTAAGCAAAAATGCGTTCTGACACGCCCTGAAATCGTTTGCGCCCTGCGTTTTGCGCTCTGCGCATGGACCGTCAAAATATAGCCCTATGAGTTGGTGTATACTGAAAGTTGCTGAGTTTTTCCTTCGTCCAAGTCAATTGATTTGAGTATCCACCGATACCGAAACCCGATCCGATACTTCTATAATACATAAAAAAATGAAGAAGAGCAAAGAAACAGATTTAATGAAGTTTTTTTTAATAGAGTTAATCAGCTGTGCCTTAAGGCTTATGGCCCGTTTCCACTGAGTGGTACAGTACGGTAGGGTTCGGTTTGGTACGCTTTTATGGGTGTTTCCACTATCAAAAGGCTTACCGAACCAAACCGTGCCGTACCACTTTTTCAGCACCCTTTCGATATGGTACCAAACATGAGAAAGGGTACCAAAAGGCGGAGCTAGACGGAGCTAGATTGGTCATTCGCTTGCGCAACAAGTCAGAATAAAAACAAAAAACCCGCCATGTTTAAAATACACAGCTGAGAGATTACACAGAATAATATATACATATAATAACGAGCCATGGTCGATCCGGGCTCAAACTAATCTTGTCGTTGTCTTGATGAACAGCCACAAAGCCATGGAGTAGAGCAGAATCTACCCTGTGCCTCGTAGTTTTTTTACGAGCCTTTTTGAAGCGCGAGCGGTTTCCCTTTCTTGCTTGCGCTCGCTGCACGTCTATATCTGAACTAACAAACTTCTTGAGCTGATGATAATAACATGCACCTGATTATTGACGTGCTTTAGAAACCCGATCCTATCAGACAGTGACAAATGCGAGAGAAAAAAAAGGAGAAGCCGGAAAAAAGGTGCACATTATTTCTTCAGCAAACGTGAACAAGCTGCCTTGTTTTAATTTTTATCATCACCTTTTGGACTAATATAAACTGGGAAGGATGGAATGACTCTCTATACGTGCTGCTGAAGATTACAGACACAGATGAGAGGTTTCACTGACTCTAGGCTATGTTTTGTGTTGCTTTAAACCTAAATAAGGACGAAATGTCTGCTGTGTGTAGTTTTTCAGTAGTTGGTAACATATCAGAGACTGTAAGGGGCTGTATGTGTTCATATATGTTCATTTATTTATTTAATATAATTGCAGACGTTACAGTAGGCTATTTCGCACTGTCTTTGATCTGCAGTTATAATCAAATCCTGTTGATAGAAAAGTTAGTAATAAACACTTATAAAACAAGTATTTATTTGTTTAAAGCGTCTGTTTTGTGAGAAGTGCTTCTCATATGATATGTGAGCAACCCATACAGCTTTATTGTAGACATTTCCTCAAGCGAGAATGATGCAACTGAAACTTTGTCAAACACCACGCCCACCATAAGGGTACCCTTGGTATTGGAAATGCAAGCCTGATAAAGGTGACCCGTACCGACCCGAATTAGTAGAGACATGGGAGCTACGGGTGGACTCCATATGTCTGTGGTGAATAAAACATGGGTTACATCTGATAACGGGAATAGGAGTTTGTCAGAAATCTTCTTATAAAGGGCTGGCAGAGCTTTCTCTGTGAAATAGTGGCGAGATGGCAGTTCAAATCAAGGTTCTACATGCTTCATAAGCATAAGAAATCCAGGGTTCTCTACAAAGGCGAAAGGCAGGTCACTCATTGCCATCATTTGTGCTACATTGGCTGGGATGTACTATGCCTTTGCGCTGTCACAGGGCATTTTGTCTCTCCTCTTCAAACTCTCCTGCAGCAAGAGCTGTTGTACAACCAGGGCGTTCCCAAGTCACCATAGGTGTCCCAATGTATGGTAAACAAGATCTGTACTGTCCTTAAAAGAGCCCAAATTCATCTCATAGTGTTGAACTAATAGCATCTGGCTTTTTCTACAGCTAGATACACTGTAAGAGCAACAAAAATAACTTGACTTCAAGTTGATCATTTGGAAAAGTGGCAGAAGACCTATAGGAACCCGTATAGACCCAAGATTCTCACAGTAATCAGTCAAGTTTGGTGAAGAAAAATGCATGGTTTGGGGTTACATTCAGGATGGGGGCGTGCGAGAGATCTGCAGTGTATGGCAACATCACAGTTTGAGGTATCAAGGCATTTGTGCTGCCCATTTCATTACAAACCACAGGAGAGGGCAAATTCTTCAGCAGGATAGCGCTCCTTCTCAAACTTCAGCCTCCACATCAAAGTTCCTGAAAGCAAGTCAAGGTGCTCCAGGATTGGCCAGCCCAGTCACCATGGATGAACATTATTGAGCATGTCTGGGGTAAGATGGAGGAGGAGGCATTTAAGATGAATACAATGAATATTGATGAACTCCAGGAGTCCTGCAAGAACGCTTTCTTTGCCATTCCAGATGACTTAACTAAAATTGAAAAATTCCAAAACAGTTATTAATAAACGTCAGTGTGATTCTTTTTTTGAGTGTACTGACTCTTGATCTTGGAAGTCAATTGAGATGCACCCTTATTTGTGTATGTGTTGATACAGATAAAAAGTCAGTCACAAATGCAACTCTCTTCTAGTTCTTCATACGTTAGTTAAGCAGTGGTGATTGACAAAAGTGCATTTCTTTGCAGATATTCATAAACTGCGACCTCATCCAGGACAGAATGAAGTGGCCATGCGCTTTCGCTCGCTGTTGGACTCTGATCACCACCCTTCTGAAATCGCAGGTCAGTTTTGCTATGTATTTATGCACTTCATTTGGTGTTCCAGTTGTTCAATAATTTGGCGGGAAAATCAAATATCTTTTTTTTTTTTGATAACTGTAGAGAGCCATAGGTTTTGTGACAGAGTTCAGGATGCCTACACCATGCGCTGTTGTCCACAGGTAAAGTAAGAGCCTATTATCTGTGTTGTTAAACCTGGGTTAAGTTTCATTGACTAAAACTGAAGTGAAGTTTATTCATAAACTAATTTCGAGAGGATCACGTGCTTATGATTTATCACGTCCAGTCTCGTATTTGCTAATCACTAATCTTCCAATCATATGAGCCCTAAGGCACCATAAATAGTCTAAGTTTTCAGTTCACTTTATCTTCGTTTGGAAGAAAACCCCCCTCCTCCCCTATTCTCCTCCTTTACCTGCAATTGGGCGGCACGGCGGTCCAGTGGTTAGCACTGTGAACCACACAGCAAGAATACTGCTGGTCCTAGTTCGATAGGACCGGTGAGTGTTTCTGTGGGGAGTTTGTATGTCCTTCCCGTGTCCGCGTGGGTTTTCCCCGGGCTCTCCGGTTTCCTCCCACCATCCAAAGACATTCAACATACTTAACAATCAAGCTTGTCTAATTCCTTACGTTCCCTTAGCTACAGCGGCAGGGGAGTTCTGAGATCCACCGAGCTCAGGCTCCCTTCTTGCTCTGCCAACGGGAGGAAGCCCCGGGCTCGAGGAGCCCTTGAGCTCGGGGCTCTCTCCCGGGACAGCATGCCAAATAAGATTTGTAAATCATCAGCTAAGTGTGAACTCTTGAAATTGTAATTAAATAAAATGGAAATAAGCTCTGTAACTGAACTCAATCTGTGTACTCAAAAAAAAAATATATATAATGAGTTAAACAGAGTTAAAATGTACAATTTATGCAATAATGCTAATTTAAATAACACTAAGACTGGTTTACTATTGCAATTTTGTTTCCCTTAAATTATAATACACACACACACACACACACACACACATATATATATATATATACACACACACACATACACAAACACTCACTGGCCACTTTATTACCTTACTATAACCAGGCTAGACCCGTTTTTGCCTTTAGAACTGCCTTAATCCTTCATGGCATAGATTCAACAAGGTACTGTAAATATTCTTCAGAGATTTTTTTCCAAATTGACATGACAGCATCACGCTGTTGCTGCAAATTTGTTGACTACATCCATGATGCGAATCTCCAGTTCCACCACTTCTCAAAGGTGCTCTATCGGATTGAGTTCTGGTGACTGTAGAGGCCATTTGAGTACATTGAACTCATTGTCATGTTCAAAAAACCAGTCTGAGATGATTTGTGCTTTTATATCAGCTCAAACCAGTCTGGCCATTCACTTTTCTTCCCCATTCTGATGCTTAGTTTGAACTGCAGCAGATCGACTTGACCATATATATATATATATATATATATATATACAGTTGAAGTCAGAATTATTAGCCCCCCTGTATTATTAGCGCCCCTGTTTATTTTTCCCCCAATTTCTGTTTAATGGAGGGAAGATTGTTTCAGCACATTTCTAAGCATAATAGTTTTAAAAACTTATTTCTAATAACTGATTTATTTTCTCTTTGTCATGATGACAGTAAATAATATTTTACTTGATATTTTTCAAGACACTTCTATACAGCTTAAAGTGACATTTAAAGGCTTCACTAGGTTAATAAGGTGAACTAGGCAGGTTAGGGTAATTCGGCAAGTTACTGTATGATGATGGTTTGTTCTGTAGACTATCAGAAAAAAAATAGCTTAAAGGGGCTAATAATTTTGTCCCAAAAATGGTTTTCAAAAAATTAAAAACTACTTTTATTCTAGCCGAAATAAAACAAATAAGACTTTCTCTAGAAGAAAAAATATTATCAGACATACTGTAAAAATGTCATTGCTCTGTTAAACATCATTTGGAAAATATTTAATAAAGAAAATCAAAATCAAAAGGGGGCTAATAATTCTGACTTCAACTGTATATATACAAATAAAAATAAATCATATAACCTTATGAAAAAATAAAAACAAAAGATAACTCATAATAAAACAAATTTTGTAAGTTTGTAAATATAAAAATAGCAAATGTTGACCCATGTTGTCTGTATTTTACTTCCGTTACATTTGATATATTTGATATATTTTATATTTTTCAGGTCCACGGAATCGTCAATGACACGATTGAGTTTGTCAAGAAAATCATTAATACAGAAATCAACAGTGCCACAGATAATCCTGTATCTTTTTTTAGAGTTATAATGTCTTTTGCTTATGCGATCTCAAATTCTCAATAACTTATTCATTCATTTTCTTTTCGGCTTAGTCCCTTTATTAATCCGAGGTCGCCAAAGCGGAATGAACCGCCAACTTATCCAGCATATGTTTTACACAGCAGATGCCCTTCTAGCTGCAACCCATCACTGGGAAACAGAAGCCCCACCCTAAAGGACTAATATTCCTGCCTTAAAAGACTCTCTAAAGCATAGATAGCCACACCCTAAATGACTGATAATCCCACCCTAAAGCACAGAAAGCACCACCCTAAAGGACTGATATTCCTGCCCTTAAGCACTGATTGCTCCACCTTGAAGGACTGATAGCCCCTGCCCCAAAAGACAGATAGCCCCGCCCTAAAGCATAGATTGCCCCCCATAAAGGACTGATAGCCCTGCCCCAAAAGACTGATAGCCCCGCCCTAAAGCACTGACAGACCCACTCTAAAGGAATTCCATGTTATAAGGATGTGAAGAAGCGTCAAAGTGAAGGATATGGTATTTAATTGAAGTTTATGAGGGCAATCAATTTTTACAAATACAAAATGCACAGATACATTGATTACAATAAAATCAACTATATACATATAAAAATAAAAAAAGTCAATTTTGATTTCATGGTGACTTTAACTGTAAATCAGATGGTGTTTGCAGAGAGAGGCGAGACCATATCAGGTGGAAACTTCCATGGAGAATATCCAGCAAAGGTATTTCATCCCACTGCATTTAGCAAAGATATAAATTCGACATCTGTGTTCATTCTCTTTTTTTCCTTTCATACAGGCTCTTGACTATTTGGCAATCGGGGTCCACGAATTGGCCTCCATCAGCGAGAGACGCATCGAACGTCTCTGCAATCCCTCTCTCAGTGAATTACCTGCATTTCTGGTTAACGAGGGAGGCCTGAACTCTGGATTCATGATTGCTCACTGCACCGCTGCAGCTCTCGGTTAGCAACGCAAAGTTCAGGAGAGCTTAGTTCCTTAACCAAATAGTGGAAAAGTTTAATTTTGACTACTGTACTGGACTCATGTTGACTATTAACTAAAATGGATGTATTTGTTTTTGTTTTTTTTTTTGCAGTTTCAGAGAACAAAGTGCTTTGCCACCCCTCCTCCATTGACTCTCTGTCCACTAGTGCAGCCACTGAGGATCACGTGTCCATGGGAGGCTGGGCTGCGCGCAAAGCCCTCAGAGTGGTGGAGCATGTCGAACAAGGTCCAAAACAAGACACTAACCTCACTTTTACACCATTGACATCGTTTACTCTTTCATTTAGCAAAGGTTGTTACTACTTATGGCGCCCCCTAGTAGAGCTCCAAAGCACAGATTGTAATAACACCATTAAATCTAAATGCCAGTTCTGTTTTGAAGAATTGGTGGGCAAAGTTGCTTTCAGATTAGTGTTATTTCAGGGATATTTTGCAAAACAAATCAACACTTATCATGAAAATATACATGTACATATACAATGTAAGAGTAAAAAGAGTATCAGGACTTTAGCTAATAGGAACAATTAGCTAATAAAAAACAATAATAACAATATTTATAATAAAAAATACAATGAACAACCCTCTTCCCCACTTTACTTTTATTTAATTAGAATATATTTTTTATTTTATTTCATATTTTATACTTTATTTTTATTTATTTAATTTAATATAATTTTTATTTCATTTTACTTTATTTTTTATTAAATTAAATTTTTTTAAATTTTATTTTACTTTATTTTGCTTTTATTTATTCATTCTCTTTTCAATGGAATGAACCGCCAACTTATCCAGCATATGTTTTACACCACGGATGCCCTTTCAGCTGCCAACCATCACTGGGAAACACCCATACACTCTCATTCACACACACACACACACACACTACGGACAATTTAGCTCACCCAATTCACCTATGGCGCATGTCTTTGGACTGTGAGGGAAACCGGAGCATTCTGAGGAAACCCACTCCAACACCGGGAGAACATGCAAACTCCACACAGAAATGCCAGCTGACCCACTTGAGGCTTAAACAACGACCTTTTTGCTGTAAAGCATCTTCTCTATCATCTCTTTTATATGGTCTGTTTAAGTAATATTTACTATCTATAGATTTACCCTCATGTTTTCATTGGTCCTTAAACTAATTTTGACATCATACTAAATATGAATAAATGATGAATGATGTTATATTTCACAGGAAAAAAGTTAAATAGTTTTTGTTGTGTGTTTTGTTTTCTTACCACCAATGTACAGATTCAGATCAGAAATCGGCTATTTTGGAGATATCTAATCTGTCTTCTGTGTTCTTACAGTGCTGGCTATTGAATTGTTAGCTGCCTGTCAAGGTATTGAGTTTCTACGCCCGCTACGCACCACAACCCCGCTGGAGAAAGTGTACGACCTCGTGCGTGCTGCAGTAAAGTAGGTGGAATGATAACACACTAACCCCTAAACCACCAATATATTGAACTTTCAGGTTAATAATCATCAAAGCTTCCTTTCATTCCTTCAATTATTCGTCTCTTCTTTTCTCTGTTCCTCAGGCCCTGGATTAAAGACAGGTTCATGGCTCCAGATATTGAAGCAGTCCATCGGCTTCTTGTAGACCAGAAGGTGTTCATTATTTCTTTTAAATCTTTGATTTTTATTGATTTTTTCATTCATTTATTTTCTTTTCGGCTTAGTCCCTTTATTAATCTGGGGTCACCACAGCGGAATGAACCGGCAATTTATCCAGCACGTTTTTACGCAGCAGATGCCCTTCCAGCTGCAACCCATCTTTGGGAAACATCCATATACTCTTTCACATTCATACACTACGGCCAATTTGCCTTATTGATTTTTTTAATTTAACAAAACAATATCAAGTGGGAATCTATTCTTAAAGGGGTAGTTCACCCAAAAATGAAAGTGTATTCACTGTTTACCAAATGCTTCCTAACCTAAAAACTAACTACTCTAATCTAAAACTAACAATACTGATATTGACATCTAAAAGATTATCTATAAGTTATTTTCATTTCATTTTATCTGTTAAATTCTCACCCCATGTTGTTTCATTCCTCTTGCCTTCAGGTGTGGAACATTGCAGGGCCGTACATTGAGAAATACTGTATGGAGTACATCCCAGAATCTCGGCCCTCATCCCCCACGGCCTTCGCTCTGGACCCGCCCCCGTCACCACGGAAACGGGTCAGGCTGGAGTGACAGGGATGGCGTCCTGCTGACATCGTCCTATAGTCTCGCATTCAATACATTTATCATACATTTATATCAAGCAAGCTTCAGCACGTTTGGGATATTTTTTGAACAGAGAGAATTGTGAGATGCTAAACGCTGTAAGACTCGATCCTGTGCTGTAAGACATGATCATATTTTGCCATCTGTCGCTCCTTATGCAGCTTTTTGTGTGGTGTTAGGGAATAAATGTCTTGTGATTGCAGCATTTGTGTGTTTTTCGACTTTTCCAAAAGGTGACGGACGGATAGAATCTGTTGCCATGTTTTCATTGGGAAGTTGAAACTCCTGTAAAACAGTTGCATCAGTCTGCTCTGAAAAGGAAGGGTCTTTGAACTTCCTGACTTGGAGGTATTTTGATAGATGGAGGGATGTTGGTCTTCCTACCATGTGATATTGTGTTTAACTTTCCCTACGCATTGCTTTTGGCACCTTTGCAGTTCCCTTGACAAATTTGATGAACATGTTCATTGTATTAGTTACATTTGTGTTCGGGGAAGTGATTGCAGAAGGCTTAGATTTGCTGGTAACACTTTACAATAAGGTGGTATTAGTTAACGCAGTGTTTCTCAACCACGTTGCTAAAGGACCACCAACACTGCGTGTTTTGGATGTCTCCTTTATCTGAAACACCCATAACAGGTCTTCCAGTCTCTGCTAATGACAACCCAGGCTTATTCTGAAAACATACCTCTAAATACATTTCTGGAGACAGCAAAATACGTCCCAGGGGGTACGTTGATATATAGTTTTTGTTTTTGCAAATCCACAAGACACCACTGTGTACGTTTTTTTTTTTTTTTTCATTCATTCATTTTCTTTTCGGCTTATCCCCTTTTATAATCTGGGGTTGCCACAGCGGAATGAACTGCCAACTTATCCAACTTAACTTTTTTTTTTCGCAGCGGATGCCTGTCTAGCTGCAACCCATCAATGGGAAACATCCATACACACACATTCACACACACACTCATACACTAAAGTCAGTTTTAGCATACCCAATTCACCTGAAACACATGTCTTTGGACTTGTGGGGAAAACCGGAGCACCAGGAGGAAACCCACGCGAGCACAGGGAGAACACGCAAACTCCACACAGAAATGCCAACTGACTCAGCCAAGGCTAGAACCACCGATCTTCTTGCAGTGAGGCAACGTGCTACCCACTGCATTACCCGTGTACGCTTTTTGAGATCTCAAATTTTTCTCGCTAGTGCCATTCGCACCTGCTGTTCTTGCAAAAATTCACCAGAGGCCGCTGTCGACTGACTGTTTGACTTAGTAAATGACTGACTGACCGACCAAACGACTGACCCACCCTCCTCCTTCCCTAATCCCAACCAATTTTATCAATTGACCTGCCCACCCACTTTCCTAAACCCAACCAACAATTATCTAAAACAATCCAGAAAAAGAAAAGCCCTTGTCTGATTTTTTACCACGTTGTCAGATTTTACCACATTCTCACCCTGTTTGCTGAACTACTATTTGCGTCTCAAGCCTGTCGACGTACATGACGAGGTAACTGGACAAGCTGGTTACAGCAGAAAAGACGTCAATGCGGAAGTAAGCGGTCAGCTGGTAAACGCGAAAAGGAATGGCGTCAAACCGCCTCCTAGCGTTCGTCTAAAAAAACGAAGTGAAGCCATACGTACATCTGACTACATCATTTGTGATCTCCAGAAATGTATATAGGGCTACGTTTTCAGAATGAGCCTGTGTAAGCTAATGAGCTGAAGCAGGTGTGTTTGGTTAAGGAGACCTGAAAAATGTGCAAACCTGGTTGTCCTCTAGGAACGTGTTAAGAAACACTTATTTTGCTAATTTACTAACATAAACAAACAATAAACAATACATTTATGTTAGTTTGCGTTAGTAAATGAAAATACAGTTCATCTTAACTCACGGTGCATTAACTAATGCTAACAAGCATGGATTTAGATGTTATCAATACATTAGTATAAGTTGATCTGTGATGAATAAATGCTGTACAGGGATTGTTAATAGTTTATCCATGTTTGTAAATGCATGACCTATTCATTCATTTATTTTCCTTCGACTTAGTTCCTTAATTCATCAGGGGTCGCCACAGTGGAATGGACCACCAACTTATCCAGCATATTTTTTACACAGCCAATGCCCTTCCAGCTGCAACCCAGTACTGGTAAACATCCATACATGCAAACACTATGGCCAATTTAGTTTCTCCAATTCACCTATAGCGCATGTCTTTGGACTGTGAGGGAAACTGGAGCACCCGGAAACCCACACGAATACGGGGAGAACATGCAAACTCCACACAGAAATGTCAACTGGCTTAGCTGGGACTCAAACCAGCAACCTTGCTGTGAGGTGACTGCTAACCACTGAGCCACCGTTCCGCCCCACATGCATGAACTAATTAAACCTCATTGTAAAGTGTTACTCGTTGATTCATACTGAGGGGGAAAAGTAATAGTTTGCACGTTTTGTTCAGTGAATAAATGTTTAGTTTAACAAACAGCATGACTTCCGAAGACTTTGTGGTGCTTAAAGGTCTCGTAAAGTGTTTTGAAATGCTTTTTTGTTCAGTGTTTGATGTAAACTCAACCGAAACACGAAAAGAGGGCGGGATATAGTTTAGCTCCTCCCCTTTTTTTTCAGTGTTTGATGTTAACAATCGAAACACGAAAAGAGGGCGGGATATAGTTTAGCTCCTCCCCTTTTTTCCCCAGTGTTTGATGTAAACTCAACCGAAACATGAAAAGAGGGCGGGATATAGTTTAGCTCCTCCCCTTTTTATTCAGTGTTTGATGTAAACTCTACCGAAACATGAAAAGAGGGCGGGATATAGTTTAGCTCCTCCCCTTTTTATTCAGTGTTTGATGTAAACTCAACCGAAACACGAAAAGAGGGCTGGATATAGTTTAGCTACTCCCCCTTATTAAAAAAAATTGACATTAGTGTTTTGTTTTATCCCCGCTCTGCTTGTAAGAGTGCTCAAGAGCATCAAATGAGAAGAGTGATGAAGGTGCCGGGGCAATTCAGATATTAAATTGCATTTGATTGGTCAGAAAATTTGATGAGAAACTGAAGTATGAGGTGACGTGAATAAAACTGTTGATCCATTTAGGCGGAAGTGACAGACTACAAGCTTCACATGTTTATATCAGTTTTAGATCTTCTAAATGCTAATTTTGTCACTGTTTTGAGGCACACTAGCTTATAGATAACCTAAAAACTAACAATACTGATACGAACATCTTCAAAACTTTAATTTAATTTCATTGGACATTTAAACCGGCCAGATTTAAAGTGTATTTTTAGCCAAATTATTCATTTTGCAATATTTGACTGACAGAATGACAACATAGGCTCATTCTGAAAATGTAGCTCTATATACTTTTCTGAGGACCGCAAATTATGTATCCAGAAGTATGTATGGCTGCATTTCGTCTTTAAAATGAACGCTACTTACAGCTGACCATTTACCTCTGTATGGATGGCTTTCCTGCTGTTACAAGTTTGTCCAGTAGCTCGCCTTGTATCTCAGCGGACTTGAGACACAGAGAGGAGACTGGATGGTTTGACCACGGCGACAGTGTTTGAGTCAGATGAAGAACGATTCCAGAAAGCTGGACCAAACTGTGCTTTTGAAAATACTATTGGTTGGGTTTAGGGAAGGAGGAGGGTGGGTCAGTCGATTGGTCAGTCATTAGGTCAGTCAGTGGACAGCGGCCTCTGTTGGATTTATGCAAGAACAACAGACGCAAATAACACTCGGGAGAGAAATTTTAAAGAGAGATCTTAGAAAGTGTACACAGCAGCCTCTGGTGGATTTGCGAAAACAAAAACTGCAAAAAAAAAAAAGTAGCTCCTGGGATGTATTTCTCTTCAGAAATGTATATAGGGGTACGTTTTCAGAATGAGCTTGGGTTGCAGAATGAAGGTTGTTGATGTTGATCTGTGATTGGGTGATGAGAAGTGCATTCTGGTTAAATAGAGGGGGCAGCTCAACAGGGATGTCAGGGGCAGCTGCTGCTATACGAGATACTGATGTCCATAACAATGCTGGCCAGCCTACCCTTCTCTCTCTCTCTCTCTCTCTCGCTCTCCTCTCTTTATGTTATTTCCTCTGAAAGGTGGAACTGCTATCGCAACATTTTGAGACTGCACTAAAATCTTGTTTTTGTCTACGAGAACATTTTCTTGAAAAGCTCAAAGGGAATATCAGTAAAAGGCGAAGACGGGGGAGCAGATTTGCATATAAAGGTATTGATTTTTCTTGTTTTAAATGTTAAATCATTTAAAGTTTGTCGTTGCACCAAGGATAAAGAGGTAAAGTCTTTGAATAAACACCCACAGACAGAGATTCAATTTACAAAATCAATTTTAAATGCATAAAAGCAAATTAAATACAGATGAAGTTTCAAATAAGTTTAGTGAAGAAAAAAAAACTCAAAATATGAGAGAAATTATCATCCTCATTCAATGTAACGGCTTTTTCTTTTTTATTATGTTATGTTTGAGTTCAATCATATAATATGTCAAGTTATACTTAGACCTCAGTATGTGACTTTAAATGATGAACAATTGACATTCTTGCCAGGTGTACTACAGTATATACCTTAAATTCACAGTAAACTACTGGCTAATAATTGCATTACTTTCACAGTAAAATACTGTATGTAATTTTACAGCAAATTACCATGAGTTAGTTCACTGTAATGTACTGTGATTTTTGTTTCATTAAATTACTGTGAAATTACAGCCATATAGTGTAACTTCACAGCAGACAGTAACATCCATTACTGTAATTTCACAGTATCATCTTGTAGAATTAACTATATTTTACCGTGAAGCAGGCTTTCCTCTAATAATATCCAGCTGCAGGCCCGCAGAACCACACACGTTTTAGGCACACGCAATCCAGGCAAACCATATATGGTTACGGCGGATGTTAATGTTATTATTGTTACACCAAATAATGTTATTAATGTTTTTTAGACATCGTCATCGATATATTTTGATATATATGATTAATAAACATTGGACACAATAAAAAATAGTGTTTACTTTATTTCACAAATATTGTGATCGAGACGGGCGAATGGGGAGCAGTGTTTCCAAAGCCATTCAATATAATAGACTGAACAGTTTTCTATAAGTCATCATAGATGATCAGTCATTTTAGCAAATACTCGTTTGCTGGCCTTGCTAAACTAAA